TATATACGTCACAAGAAAAGGCAAACCCTCTCCATACATAATATGATTTAACGTCTGATCCAGGCAATCATCCCCTCCCCATACAACCATAGCCACTAAGACTCACGTAAATACAAGATCCTAACAAAACCTCTGGCCTCGATGGTCGTCCTCCGAGATTGTAGACTCACTCGCCTTTATATCTCTACCGTCTTAAAAGCTAGCTAATACATCAACAATTCCTAAACATGGTATCTTCCTCGCTCATGACTTTAGGATCGTTAACAGTGGCACAGACTCTCTCGTTACCCTAAATATCTTAATCCAATTTACAGAAGTTTCATCATCGGGCTGCTCCTCCCACACTTCCTGCGTATGACCTTCCAACTTTTCTCATCTGTCGAATCTCCTTTTATCTATCCAGCCTCAATAACAGTGCGGTGGTACACGGATTTTGTTCTGACTATTTTCTGATTCCTCTGGCAGCCTGAGAGAGGAGCGGAAGGCTATTGTAATCGGTCTGGTGAGTGAATCAGCACATGAGAAAATCAGTATGCAAATAAAATTTATAGATATTTCAACAATTGTTTCAACTGTTTTCCCTTAGTGGGGGAAGACTATGCCTACTCAGTGTGTGTGTGTGTGTGTAGGTGTGTAGATAACACTAAGGACTTTTCCTGGTCAAATCCTATAGTTTTGCTTACTAATAATCTTCCACGACCTCAAAACAAACGTAAGTAACAAATATATGACTTAAGTCTTCGAGACTGTCTGTTTCACACCAGTTTATCAAGATAAACTTGAAAACTTCCGGTTTGCAAGACTATCTAAGTGTTTCTTCTATTGTTACCCATATTTTTACAGTCGTTACATATTACACACAATAAAATACAGTATTATCTTAAATAAAATTACCTTACAGGAAACTTTTGACCTCCTTCCCGTGTTAATCCGTAAGTGAACTTCCCGAAAATGCTTCCAGTCTTATTGCTTACGTAAGTTTGGTTTATTTTCGCCTGGAATTTCGATTTTGTATCCAGGGAGATGCAATGCAGACCTCCCCCGCTGTACAGGTGGTCACTGACAGGTGGATTTTGAAGAAATATTGGCACTCAGACACAAAGATACATATGATACTACAGGAACATTACTGAAATTATAAGACAGTGGAAACTAACTTATAGAACCAACTATTTCATTTTCATGTTCGAAAAAAACTAAAAAAAAAAACTCATTATAGACCTGTCATAGAAGAGAAGTGATTAAGAAATGGTCATAAGCTGCGTCAGAAACGGTCATGGAGTTTGACGTCACAGGTAAAACACACTGCTTTCAAACGTATATTGTACGAGTATTAATTCAATGTTTAATTTTGACGTAAGAATATTTGGAATAAATTTAGAAAAAACGAAATCTGAAATTGTACCGATGCAAACCTGAGAATACAAAATCCTAACCATAACACACATGGTTTATGTTTCCTCAAAAGGGGACAACCTGTCTAAGTGTGTTCGGGAGGAAACAAACGTGTATTCAAAAATATTAGTTTTAACTCATAATAGTTACAACACTGTCATAATAGGTACATCACTATCAACACTGTCATAATAGTTACAACACTATCAACACTGTCATAATAGGTACAACACTATCAACACTGTCATAATAGGTACAACACTATCAACACTGACATAATAGGTCCATCACTATCAACACTGTCATAATAGTTACAACACTATCAACACTGTCATAATAGTTACAACACTATCAACACTGTCATAATAGGTACAACACTATCAACACTGTCATAATAGGTACAACACTATCAACACTGTCATAATAGTTAGAACACTGTCACAATTATTACAACAACTGCGGAAGTATGGTGGCAGACTCTGTGGCCTCGTGTGTGTGGTTCTGGCCCATCCTCCAATCATCATTCTCACGCAAATTCCCAAGAACAAGAAAAGTTCCACCAACATCTCATCTCCGGACGAGGAATTTCCCCCAGGCATTTATTTTTACAGCGACTGGGGCGACTGGGGCGAGATATTAAAGATCTGTGTTTAGTCCAGGTTGGAGGAGTGAATTAGTGCTGGTATTGTGAATAATAGCTCGCGTTTATTTCATACTGGTGTTTTATATTCACCAGGTTTCCTTCGTCACTCTCCTAAATTAAAACTATATTCCCTTTTATCATATTTCACCTTATACTTTATTCTGAAATTGGATTTTATATTTTAGACAATCTCGTCAGGTCGTACATATGTGTTGACTATGACAAACATCTCTGGGTGTTGGTGAAGTCGATGTTGGTGGAGCGGTGAGGGTGTGTGATGCTCATGGCCGCGTGAGATTAACTTACCTGGATGTTTGTCGAGGTAAAATAATATGGTGATGGCGACTCCCACAGTACGTGTTCGTGGGTGACTGTTGTTCTTTTGCTTTTTTCTTGTCTCTCTCTACTGCCTTCCTTCTTGTCACCTTTTCTGTTTATTAATATTAGAGTGAAGTTTTTCTTTTTAATTGTATTCTTCGCTATTAAATTGAATACAAGTTCTTTTTTAAATTCCCTAGTCTAAAAATTAATGGTTATTTAGGTCTTAATCAGGATATTTTACTCAACAATTTACATATTCCTTTGTGATGACAAATTTCAATATATATGAATGTAGTAACTTCATTTTTCCATTACCTATGACTTAATTTCAAGACACACACACACATACACACCACCACCACCAACAACAACAACAACAACAGCAGCAGCAACAACAATATAACAACAACAACACCACCACCACCACCACCACCACCACCACCACCCACCACCACCACCACCATCATCGCCGCCACCACCATACCACCACCACCATCACCACCAACTACTACTACTACTAGTTTGTTGTCACTCGGAATCGATTATGACGATCATCCAGCTATGATACAATGATATGAGTTATTAAGGATGTCGCCTTCGTTGGTGAGCTCTGAGGTGACTCGAGAGGCCGATACGGACTCGGCAAGGCCAACCACAGATGTTGCACGTGTGGAGGGCTACATCTAGTGTGGGAGGGTCGGCGACAGCGTATTTCCGGTGCAGGAGCTTGTCTGCCTCGGTATGCAGTCGGGTTAACTCGAAAATATTGACACCTCGTGTGGTGCTCCTCCCAGATAAGGGAGGTCCATTTGGCACTTTTTCAGGTTTGTCTTAAGACTATCCTTATACCTTTTCATTTGCCCGCCAGCGTTACGTTTAAAATTCATTAGGTGACTGTAAAGTAGCTGCTTTGGCAGTCTACTGTCGTCCATGCGGGTAACATGGCCAGTCTAGCGTAGTTGTTCATGGATAATGGTAGCTTCGATGCTCCTACAGTTGGTGTCAACAAGAATATTGGCATTTATTCTCTTGTCTTCCCAGGAACTCGAAGGCTGGAACGTAGACTGCGTTGGTGAAAGTTTTCAAATGCCTTGAGGTACAGTGTCACCCAAAAGTTCGTTAACTCTCCCAGCCAGCTATTGTTGCACTGAGACAATTTCAAATATCTGAAGCAGGCAGTGCAGCAATATCTGGCTGGGAGAGTTAACGAACTTTTGGGTGAGACTGTACCTCCTGCATGTGACCCATGTTTCGCTGCCATACAGCAGGGTAGAGAGGACCACTGCTCAATTCACTGACGCCTCAATATTCTTCCCCAGATGACTGTACACCCCAATATCCCCCCCCCAGCTGAATGTACACCTCAATATTCTCCCACACCTGACTGTACATTTCAATATTCTCCCCAGCTGACTGTACAGTACACCCCAATATTCTCCCCAGCTGACTGTACACCTCAGTATTCTCCCCAGCTGACTGTACACCTCAGTATTCTCCCCAGCTGACTGTACACCTCAGCATTCTCCCCACCTGACTGTACACCTCAGTATTCTCCCCAACTGACTGTGCAGTACACCTCAGTATTCTCCCCAGCTGACTGTACACCTCCAGCCTCCCCAGCCTGACTGTACAGTACACCTCAGTATTCTCCCCAGCTGACTGGCCTGATGTACACCTCAGTATTCTCCCCAGCAGCTTACACCTCAGTATTCTCCCCAGCTGACTGTACACCTCAGTATTCTCCCCAGCTGACTGCTTACACCTCAGTATTCTCCCCAGCTGACTAACCACATTTCAATATTCCTCCCCAGCTGACTGCAGTACCCCAATATTCTTCAGCTGACTGTACCTCAGTGCTCTCCCCAGCTGACTGTACACCTCAGTATTCTCCCCAGCTGACTGTACACCTCAATGTTCTCCCCAATGACTGTACACCTCAGTATTCTCCCCAGCTGACTGTATACCTCAATATTCTCCCCCAGCTGACTGTACAGTACACCCCAATATTCTCCCCCACCTGCCTGTACACCTCAGTATTCTCCCCAGCTGACTGTACACCCCAATATTCTCCCAGCTGACTGTACACCTCAGTATTCTCCCCCAGCTGACTGTACACCCCAATATTCTTCCCCAGCTGACTGTACCTTTCAATATTCTCCCCCACCTGACTGTACACCTCAATATTCTTCCCCAGCTGACTGTACACCTCAATATTCTCCCCAGCTGACTGTACACCTCAGTATATAAGTTACGTTCTTACGCATATGTCTATTTAATGTATTTCTTGCAGTTTGAGTCTTGTATCATGCACCCTTATAAGAATTATCGCTCGCAGACGTAATTTTTTTTTTCTCTCTCTCTCTCTCTCTGTTTTAACTACTAGATCGAGCCACTGTGACCCACTAACACCAAGATGAATATATCACTTAACTCACTGGTGGTTAAAAAATATTGGGTACTTAGACCTGATTTAGTTGTGAAATACAGTGACTGGAACCGTAATTCCCAGGTGCATATTATTCATAATGTCGGGGATATTCCTTTCGTGTTGCGCGGTGAGAAGCTAGAGAAGGGAACATATTTCGCCTGTAATTGAACAGAAATAGAAACTGGTAAAACAAAACAGAATATTGCAACTTACCTTTATTAATCCTGAGGTATTTGACCACTTCCGAATTCCGTTCAACTTCTGTTCACAAGTTCACTTAAAACGTTATATCATTTGTTATATTTCTATTTTCTCACAAACCTTTAGTTTGGTCATATTTCAGCTCCTTACACTGGTGTATACTAATACGAATATATTTACGCACGCATGTGTGTGTGTGTGTGTGTATGTTTGGGCTTGAAACGAGTTTTGAAGCGAGCTGAGCTACCACGGTGATGTACGCTCGCCGACCCCCACGCCCTCACTGCCCGCGCGTCAACACCAGAGTGTGAAGCTCACACCACTGACCCACACTCTTGTTGCTCTAGCACGCGGCGCACTATTTCACCCCCCCACCCCCTTCCCTCCCTTCCTCTCATCGTCTTGATTTACGTTTATCATACACACATACACACACATATATATATATATATATATATATATATATATATATATATATATATATATATATATATATATATATATATGGTAAAATTTTAGATATCCAAACTAATCTAGGTTTCACCATCTAATATATCATGAAAGCCCCACATCCACAGCATTGCTAAAGCTCCCGAAAGCTGGGAATGATGTACAGATGCCATAGCTACTTTACTCTTGAGCAGTTGCTTCAAGTATATAAGGGATTCATTCGTCCTATCTTGGAGTACCTCCTTCTTTCCTTACACAGCCAAACTGTGGAATGCTCCGCCTTCTTCTGTGTTTCTATACTCATACAATCTGTCTCACTTCAAAAAGCTGGTTTTTCGGCATCTTCGTGGTGTAGATTAACATTATCTTTTTCATTTCTATTTTTAATTTTTTTTACTCTTATTTTTTCGCCCCCTAGGCCCCGTTGTGGGTCGATGATCTGTGCCCGGGTGTGCTATTCGTAAAAAAAAAAAATAAAAAAAAATAAAAATAAAAAACGTTCATTTCGTCCACCAAAGAACTAAAAGAGTTTGTACACTTAACTGTTAGCCTCGTACACTACCAGCCTAGGCGCCCCTCTCTTCACTATCTGCCTCTAGTTTGTGTTGTCAGAGATAGACCCTCCCCGTCTCACATCTTCCTCCTTCAGCCTCTCAATCTCTTCCTTCAGCTCTTCCTTTTTGCGCCTGACCTTCTCAATCTCAGCCTTCAGAAAGACACAGAGCTGTTCCCAGTTAGCATGAGACATAGTTATACTGTCTGGTAATCCTCGGGAGCTAATTTGCTATGACTATTTTGCGCTCGGTCAGATAACAACACTGTTAATATAAATTCAAAACAATCAGATTTTTTTTCCATAATAGACCAAATAGATCATAAAAATGCATATAAATTAATATTTTCATACAAAACCAAACATGACCTAGCCTGACTGACCTGACCTAACCTGTCCTAACCTAATCTTACTCTAATCCACTTCAGGTATAGTTTATCCATCTTATAAAAATGAACGAAACCTAAGATGAAACAGAAAAAAAAATGCCGTATCCGAATTAATTTTCATCGAATTATATATATAAAAACATAAAGTTATCCCTATTGGGCAGAAAACTTCAGTTAATTATTAAGGCTTAATCCGTAATCATCTTCAGAACAAATGATTTAAACCTACACAGTTACAATCATCAGTATTTTACCAGTTTACGTCATGTGTAAGTTGGAGGGCAGCATATATTGGTAAAACAAAAAATCACCTAAAGACACACACATCCACGAGCACTTAGGTCGTTTTGTTCATACGGGCTAATTAATCTCTACCACGTCACTCCTCTGTCCGTCCGTCTGTCTGTCACTATTTTATCCGTCCGTGTGTGTGTGTGTGTGTGTGTGTGTGTGTGTGTGTGTGTGTGTGTGTGTGTGTGTGTTTATACAGTATGCTGATCATAATGGAGTAATAGAAAGAGCTGCCGTGCTTTACAATGTCAGTGGAATGTAAGAATTTCAAGCTGGGAGTTATTGAGTCGTGTGTGGATGAACTGTCTCCGGTTCATCGTCCAGGTTATCAACAGTTGCAAACGAGGATCAGCGAACTTGTTCCTCCGCAGACTCATCCTCCAGCATCCCTGTACACAATGGTGCAGGGTAACTGCTAGCACAACTATACATTTTCTTTAAGTTGATAAGTTTGTTTCTATGTTAAACTTTGTCCGAGGTACTTTAGGAATTTCAGTCCCTCACTCAACCATGACGTCAGCCACCTAAATCTCCCCGATATAATAATCAATCAGTAGCGAGAATTCCTTCCCCTTGAGTGTTGCTTCTCTGAAATATTTTCCAGATAAACTTTCGCCTCCCTCAGACAACAGTTAACACTGAACAAAAATAATCGTAAGTGGTCAAGACTGACTTAACTGAACATGTTTCATTTGTGACGTCGCTAGTCAAGCGCTTTCTCAAGATGTCTATATTCTTAGACTTTCTAACAATCTCACCCTCAAGAAATTAGAGTTTTGTTGGGATGATCTTCTGTTGTGAAGCAATACTCTGGCAGCATCAAAGAGACGCCAGAGTTTCCCGAACCGAGGGATGCGTTTATTGGGATCCGGTAAACAACTCACCTTTCAGTTAGAAAACATAATGTTTAAGTACGTGGATAAGATAAAACAATTTGTCTTTTATGGTAAAGTGCTTACGACAGTATCACTCTTAGGAAAGTTAAAAGATTTTAAGTTGTCTGTATACTGGAGGTACAGTGAGGGCAAAAATTTATCCACTGATGACCAAGATCACTGGTCCGCATCCCTCATATTTCCGGCCGCATGCGTCCAGAGCATTAATATTTGCGGCTAAAACTGTAGCTAGTATATCATTTGAATACAATGAATGTTTAGCATCATAACGTGTATATAGAGTGTGAGTACAGCAGATATAGATACACTGATCATGGCCTAAGACGACGTGTGGGGTTAAAGTCTACGGCCGTCACCACTATTGTTTCATTAACGTGGCTTAATATACAAATAATTTATTATTAATATATATGTTGGGCTCTGGAACCAAAAGGTGACCACAACGCGTTGTGGTTTGGAAAATAACCAGAAGCGAGATTTTGCTATAGGTTAGATTAGGTCAGTTGGATTAGGTTAGATTAGTTTGGATTAGGTTAGGTAAAATCCAAAAGCAAATTTCGTGTAGTTATTTGAAACCAACCACAACGCGTTGTGGTCGTTTTTCGGTTTCTAAGCCCAACATATATACAAACACACTTAATGTTATCTAATTATCTACTTATTCATTAGCTTGTTCAAACATATTAGCCGCAGTCGTATAGATCAACGTATGAATATCTCTCTCTCTCTCTCTCTCTCTCTCTCTCTCTCTCTCTCTTTTTTTTATATATATATATATATATATATATATATATATATATATATATATATATATATATATATATATATATATATATATATATATATATATATATATATATATTTTTTTTTTTTTTTTTTTTAGAAGATATAGACAGAACTTTAGAGCAAAATTTTTGTACGAGATATTATTTCCAACATAAAGTGTTACTTAGCATACTCAACCCAGCGTGCACACACACACACACACACACACACACACACACACACACCCAGAAGTCCCTACGCGGGGGTTGAAAATAACTCGTCCAAATATTTAGATCTAATTTTTTGCCATATTGGCCGCAGTGGTAACGTACTGTTAACACCAAATTGGGATAACAAACACAGCTGTCCTGGCGTCATGGTACAGTTCAACACAGCAAACACAAGGGAAGGAGTGAGTTTGGGTCACGGATATAAGGTGTCTGGGACTCACAACTAATCTCAACTTTATACAGTAAATTGAATCATTAGTTTTGGTGAAAAAATCAACACGTTAATAAGCTATTATGCTATAGACACACACACACACACATATATATATATATATATATATATATATATATATATATATATATATATATATATATATATATATATATATAAATCAGGAAAAGAAACCTGAACATTGCTCGTCTTTATTCAAGACATCTTCAGTTGCCTCTGAAGATGTCTTGAATAAAACAAAATTTATACATGTTTTCATTGGATCTACATGAAATATATATATATATATATATATATATATATATATATATATATATATATATATATATATATATATATATATATATTTATATATTCCTCTAGCTCCTGACAGGCTTTCACACTTCCCATCAGCATTTTTTCAGTCTAATATTAACTGACACAAGCCCGGACCTGCCGTGTCTGTGAACAAAACTACATACAATATTTGGAAAAAATATAAGAGGTCCTTTACATTTTGTATTCCTTCCTGTATAGCATTAAGGCCACTGGAAATAAAACTCATTGTTAATTAGGAAATGTTATTTTTTATCAATTTAGTTTAGAAATACGACTTCACTTTGGCTTTACCTGTATGAAAATGACAGAAAAATTTTATTGCAATTTTATCCGGATGTTTCAGTAGATTTCCTGGACTATTAACCTAACATAATTATGTAAAGGCTGTTTATGATGATAACCGATGCCGTACATAAAACACGGGAAACTTTACCCTACGTGAGCGAGTTTCCATTAAGTTATAGCAGAAAAAACAAAAGTTATCCTTATCTGGCAAAAATAGTTCTTACGTTCTAAGGCTTAATCAGACTGCTACTTCTTTTTCGTGTGATATACAAACAGTATTATTATATAAGTAGGTGGTGAGTCTGGTGGCGTAGAACACTATAGATGACTGAATGCTTGTTGGTGTAGAACTGTAGATGGTTGGTGGAGTTGGTGGCGCAAGTGGTTGGTGGAGTTGGTGGTGCAAGTGGTTGGTGGAGTTGGTGGTGCAAGTGGTTGGTGGAGTTGGTGGTGCAAGTGGTTGGTGGAGTTGGTGGTGCAAGTGGTTGGTGGGTTAATTGGTGCAAGTGGTTGGTGGTAAGTTTGATCACCTATATGGAGTGAGGGCAACACAGACTTATATTACATCATCATGAACACTCAGGTCTTACCACCTGTACACTCACCACACCTGTACACTCACCACACCTGTAGTTTATTATGCGTATCTGTGGTAGTTCAAGTGTTTACAGTATCTGAAGATTATATAAGTTACGTTAGGTTAGGTTCGTAAGTAATGGTGGTTTAGGTTAAGTAATGATAGGTTAGGTTAGATAAGGTATGTTAAAATAAGGTTAAGTTAGGTTAGTTTGGGTTGGGTTAGGTTAGGTTAGGTTAGGTTGGGTTAGTTTGGGTTGGGTTTAGAATAGTTTATAGATTAGAATTATAAGTTATTGTTTATTTTTTTT